ATAATAATAATAATAATAATAATAATAATAATGATGATAATAATTATAATAAAAATAAATAATAATAATAATAATAATAATAATAATAATAATAATAATTATAATAACAATAATATTAATAATAATAATAATAATACTTTAAAATTACTTTGTTGAGTCTTCTCCTATGTCTGGTGGCATATCAATGTCATGTTCATAGTTTAGAGCAATTATATAGCTTTTTCTCCGGATAAACTGATCAGATCTGCAAAAAATGATAATAACCAAGCGGAAAGTAGAGAAATAGTATTTATAAAAACTGCAAAGCCACATTTTTGCTGCTTTAAAAAGGTAAAACAAACTAGGGTTCATTCGGCAAATATCATAATTATTCTTGTATTACATACAATTTTTGGTCATCAGTGTCCTAACTTATTGAATTTAAGCCGCGTCTCAAATCCCCCAAAACAGGTTTCAATTGAGCGCTGGCTTAAATCTAGAAAAATTTAATACAATTTTAAGTGGAACCAACCATATTTGAGCTACGGCTTAAATTTAAGCCGTTAAATTCTATAAATTCGGACTCAGCATCATAAAATATACATTTTTAACTCCTTTCAGGCTTATGATGACTAAATAATTCATACTGAGGGAGAACTCTTTTTTCTTCTTAATTAATACTCTCTACTCCTTGTGAATAATTACTGGCTTACCTCTCAGATTCAGACAGTAGCTTGATCTCGTCGCTTGCAATCCAACTATCATAGAGCGTATCTTTAGGTATCTAAAAAATACATTCTGTTATTATTTTATCAATTAAAGTAATTTTGTAAAGATCAGGAAACTTCAACTCGTCTTTTTCATTGCTCTAAGATGCTTTTGATGGTAAAGTCTACTTTGCAGCTAGTTAAAGACATGCGTTATGTACAGTTTANAGATGCGTATTGTACAGTTTAGTTAAAGAGATGCGTATTGTACAGTTTAGTTAAAGAGATGCGTATTGTACAATTTAGTTAAAGAGATGCGTATTGTACAGTTTAGTTAAACTGTCCTCAGTTCTGATTGACTTCACAAAAAAAGTCCAGCCAATGGGATTAAACACTACAAGTATCTTAGCACTGTTAAATGTTAAGTTTCAACTTAAATGCCACTTGTGATATAAATTAAACCTTAACTTCAAGCTATGGCTTAAATATTTGACTATAAATCATCGAGTTTAACAAATTAACACTCTCAATCTTGATTCTTTGTAAAAATGTTAATGTGCTTCCTTATTCATTTAAGTGTGGGCTTAAATTTGATATAATCCTGAGGCCGAATTTAAAGAATTTGAGCCGCTGCTCAAATATGGTTGATTCCACTTAAAATTATATTCAATTTTTCAAGATTTAAGCCGGTGATCAATTGAAACCGGTTTTTTTGCAGATTTAAGCCGCGGCTCAAATTCATTAAACACGGGCACTGTATTCATTATTTTACAGAACTTTTAAGCTATAACCTAAACTTCTGAATTCTTTAGTTTTTAATCTGATAACGGGCAGCGTAGTACAATTGAATTTCCGAGCCGGTTCAACTTTTCCGGCCCAGTTTGTACTGTTACGCCCGATCATTGGGTAAATGAAGCAGACACTCAATAGGACTAGCCGGTGCAACAAGGTTGACGCGGTCAGAATTTAGGTTGAATTTACTTTTATTGAAGGATCAGAGTTGCGTGTGATCTGCAATATTTAAATTTATTAAAATTATTATTATCATAATGTTACCTTTATGCCATGAAAGTATCCAATGAGACGGTCGGATGGCAAATTTGTCCTAATAATTTCAAATATTAATAATGTAAATATTAATTTTAAATGTTAAGCGTTTGCATTAAAATAATTGCTACATTTTTTGAAGAAATCTTAGCTAAAAACTCAAACTTTCCATTTTTCAATCTCTTTAAGTATAAAAGCCAACCAATGTTGTACACCATAGTTACTCTTATGTAAGATAATCTAAGTTTGAGAAAATATGACTTTGTAACAAAGACTCAAATTCTTTCCAGTACAAAATGTATAAATTGATGCTCTATCAGCTAAACTAACGTTTACCGAGCAAATATGCCTTCTCCTCCCCATGGAGAGGAATCCACTTTCAGATATTTCGCCTCAAAAGGATCCTAAAAGATTTAAAAATCATAGATTGTAATTGGTTAAGTAGAATCATAAAACAGTAGATTGTAATTGGTTAAGTAGAATCATAAAACACTAGATTGTAATTGGTTAAGTAGAATCATAAAACAGTAGATTGTAATTGGTTAATTAGAATCATAAAGCACTAGATTGAAATTGGTTAAGTAGAATCATAAAACACTAGATTGTAATTGGTTAAGTAGAATCATAAAACACTAGATTGTAATTGGTTTAGTAGCATCATAAAACACTAGATTGTGATTGGTTGAGTAGAATAATAAAACACAAAATTGTAATTTTTAGTGGAATCATAAAATACTACATTTCAATTGGTTGAGTGGAATCATAAAACACTAGATTGTGATAGGATGAGTGGAATTGAATCAAAAACACTAAATTGTGATCAATTGAGTTGAATGGAATCACAAAATACTAGATTGTGTTAAGTTAGGTGCAATGGAATCTTAACACACTAGATTGTGATTGGTTTAGTGGAATGGAATCTTAACACACTAGATTGTGATTGGTTTAGTGGAATGGAATCATAAATCACTAGATTGTGATTGGTTTACTGGAATGGAATCATAAATCACTAGAATTGTGATTGGTTTACTGGAATGGAATCATAAATTACTAGATTGTGACTGGTTTAGAGGAATGGAATCAAAAATCACTAGATTGTAATTATTTGAGAGGAAACATTAAACATTGCATATTAGGATTTGTATGAATTCAATCATAAAACATGGTTGCACTTGAGTTGGTTAATTGGAATCAGAAAACACTACATTGTGATTGGGTGAGTGGAATCATTCTACACTATTGATTTTGATTGGTTGAGTGAGTAGAATCATAAAACACTTAATTGTGATTGGTTGAGTGAGTAGAATCATAAAACACTTAATTGTGAATGGTTGAGTGGAAACATAATACAGTACATTGTAATGAGTTGAGTGGAATGGAATCAAAACCACTAGATTGTGATTGGTTGACCATTAAGAGGAATCATAAAACACTAGATTTTGATTGGATGAGGGGAATGAAATCATAAAACACTGTATTGTGATTGGTTTAGTGGAGTGTTAATGTTACCTGAAGAGTTGGAAATGAACCAAGAGAATTTAAAGAATCAAATTCAAAGGAGTATGTTTGGTCACTTCAGAACATACATTACTAAATTAATTTTACAGCTGAACCAATTGGGCAATTGGCAATTGATGATATTAATATTCTTCATAAAAATTATTTGGTTTTAAAAAATCTGCGAAAAGGCTTACATACATGGACAAATATGAGGGCTAAAGGCTTAGTATTTTTTTCATTTTGATAAAAGTAAACAAATTTTAGCCGACTAATTGTTAAAATAAAATAAAAATATATTAAAATCCATTTTAAAATTAGTAATTTACTAATGTTTCCTTGCAACCGTTTCAGTTTCTGTAGCAAAAAACATTTCAAATCACTTATATATATATTGAGAATTGTGCTTAAAGGGAAGCTAAGCAAGAAAATTGTGCTTAAAGGGAATATACGCAAGAAAATTGTGCTTAAAGGAATATAAGCAAGAAATTTGTGCTTAAAGGGAATATAAGCAAGAAAATTGTGCTGAAAGGGAATATACGCAAGAAAATTGTGCTTAAAGGGAATATAAGCAAGAAAATTGTGCTTAAAGGAAATATAAGCAAGAAAATTGTGCTTAAAGGGAATATAAGCAAGAAAATTGTGCTTAAAGGGAATAAAAGAAAGAAAATTGTGCTTAAAGGAAATGTAAGCAAAGTTTCGTGTGACTCTCTCTGAAAAGGTGGCAATGCTCGATTTAAACTGTCTATTTTTATTTGTTTTTTATCTGCAAAAGTGAATTTTTGCTATTAAGATCTAGCTGAGGTGCCCGGCGTTTCCCGTGGAATTTTAGAAACAGTTGAAAAAAAAATTACGAATTTGAAAGAAAAAATAATTTTGTAAAACAATCGATTTTTGAAAAAAAAATCAATCAAATGGTTTTAGCCTATTTTACTCCCAAGGTACCCATGGGTTCCTTTAAAAAAAATCAGCCAATTCGGTCCAGCCGTTTGATCAGCTATATGTAGCATATATATATATATATATATATATATATATATATATATGCATGAGCGAAGAGCTTTATTATATAGACAAAGGAGAAGTTCACATAAATAAACGCTTTTTTGTATCAGTAAAACGACTGTATCGTCCACTTTTTTGATCATATTAAGGTTTTCTTTTAATGGTACTGTTGTAAATCGGGCATTACTATCTTTGCATGGAGAGTTACTTAAAATGACCTTAAAAGTATCCCTTTAAATTGAAATTATAATTTTCGAACATACTTTAAAATAAAATTAAATGATTTTCCTATTTGCATTATTCCGTTGTTGCAGATAACACGCCTAATCTAAAACAAAAATACAAGTTTGTTAAACGAATCTTTTAATACCATATTTAAGAAATATATGGCACAATAGACTTCATCATAATATTGAATACTAGTTTGAATTCGCTTTTACTGACATTGCTTTACATGCTCAAAATGCAAACATGAACCTAACAAGTTCAGTAAACTATTCTTTGAATTATTCTAAATTACAGATTAGCAATCACGGACTTCTGACCCTTTAGTAAAAGTAAATTCAATCTAAAGTCTGACCACGTTAACCTTGTTGCACCGGCTAGTCCTATTGAGCGTCTGCTTTATTTACCCAATATCCGGCCGATACAATACAAACTGGGATCGGAAAGGTTGACCCGGCTTGGAAATTCAAATGTACTACGACTGCCCGTGAAATACATATTCTGTTAACAGATTTTTTTATTGTAAATTGTAGCTTATCAATTTGTTCTTGCACGACGTACATATTTAAATTATAATTTACAAAATTAAGTTATAGAGGAGGCCAAATAGTTTTTAGCCAATCATTTTGTGCCTGTAAAGTGACATTGTTTCTATAAACATTGAAAAAGTGGCATTGCTTTAACACATTTTCCATACATTTTTTATTTCATAACTATCCCTACTTTTTTGTGATTTGCAAACAAACAAATAATAAAACAAACAAATAATAAAACAAACAAATAATAAAACAAACAAATAATAAAACAAACAAATAACAAAAACAAACAAGTAAGTGTCAGGTCACACGAAATTACATTTTAAGGGAGTGACCGGCAATGCTTGTTATAGTAGTACTGAGAATGTAGTATGAGGGAAAAAAATTTTAGGATTCATTTGAGACATTTTAATAATGTATAATTAGCGCAATGTCGATGTTCAAAATCATCCATTTGGGTGGTTACATTTTGAGAATCGATTTTTTAGAATTATTAAATAACGGCGAAAAAATGTAAAAATAATCTACAACTGCCATGCATTGCCGGTCACTCCCTTTAATGATGTATTCAGATGGCCACCTAACTGATTTGGCAAAGCAATAAGCAAACGGAAAGTTGCAAAGAACGTAGGATGGTATAATATCGTTTGCTGTTTTTTAATTTTTAAAAATAATTTCAAAAAGTTCAGAGCTGAAAACTTTAGAATGAAATATCCTGAGTCCCAATTACTTAATCTGAGTATCCAATGGACACACTTTTGATTTTCTTCTTAAACCGTTCTTTCTGAGATATAGTATAAAAATCAAAAAACGGTTTTATTAATTTAGAGAGTACCTCCTGTTTCTGTATATAATCTTAACTGGCACGCAAAATTTCAAATTTATCGGCTTCATATACGCGACTCTGATTGGTTGAATTTTATACACTTTTCAGGATACAAGTACAAGATTAGGTTAGTCTCGATATTGAGAAAAAGAGAGGATAAAGCATTAATCTTAATATCCACCAGTTTAAAGTTTTCAGCTCAGATAAGTTGAAAACAAAAAAACCTGTACTGTGGGATAACTTTACCAATCATATAAATTTTAAAAAATTTAAAAACAAGACTTCATGTGTACCCTTTAAATTTAATCTTTAATCAAATCAATAACAGAAATATATTTTCATTTTCTGACAATTTCCTTCATTGTAACTATACAGAAGAAATCCGCAAGTCATGTTTAAATGGATAAACAAAAAATATTGACCTATAAATAGAAGGTTGCTTCAATATTATGTGAACAGTCCCTTTAAAAACTTTACCTCTCCTTCCCGTCCCCTGACCAATCTATTTTCAGAGAAATTTCCAACCTTAAAGAGCGTGTTCATGAAATTTCAAAATAAGATTTATGATAAATTATTATAAAAAATGTTATTCTTCATTCTGCAAAGAATATCGGTTCACCTGGTATTATTATATTATTATTGTTTTGACAATTTAGATCCTAATTCCAATGTTAAAATTTTCGATTTTAAGACAATAAAAATTAATGAACATTTTTAACTTTATAAAATTTTAAGAGGTTAAATTTTAATTTGTAGGCAGCTTACCAGAACTGTACTTAAGTCCGGGTAGATCCACGTGGTATTATTATAGATGGCGCCTCCTCCCCATATATGTGTTCCTGATACTTTATTCTAAACAAATATAAATATTTTTTTCTGTTTTGTTGTTAAATTTGTTTGTCCTTTATGACCCTGTTCGCGGGATTTCAAAAGTGTACTCCAAATTTGTCGTGCCTTCAAAATAACCTGAGAATAAAGAATTTCTTTGGAATTTTTAAGATCATGTGAACAATAATTGTGTTCAAATATCTAATCTATCTTTAACATTAAATACAGGGATACCCACAAGGGATAAGAACCTGATGACGACATTAAAACGCTTGAAATATGTGTATCTTTATATTAGTCTAGCAATCCACGTTGAGAATACCGTAGGAATGAAATAATTGATAAAGAAACTAGTCTATTAACTGCTGCAGGGAACGTTTACCATGAAATGTGAAGTCTCATTGTTCAAAAATAAGGGAAATTTCCTGCTATTCAAGTTTCAATATTTACAGATATATTCACCATGTTTATTGTGACAGCTAACATGGGTCGTGAATGACCCATACTAAAATCCCAAGAAGGCCCAACCTCCACATTTCGTCTACAAAATATGTTATAAATTTTAAAATAAAATAAAAAAACACTCATTTGGCAGCTAAAGTTTAGAGTGTATATAATTCAAATATATCATCGTGGGTCAAAACTCACTTTATTCACTTTTATTTATCTAATATATATATATATATATATATATATATATATATATATATATATATGATAGAACAAGACATTCATATATATGTTGCGTATAGCCGGCCAAACGGCTGGACCGATTGAGCGGACATTTTTTGTGGACACTCATGGGCTAAAAAAAAGATTTTTTTTTCAATTTTTTTTCTTTTCCCACGTGCAATGCCGGGCCTTTTTAACTATAGTTATCTATATTTGTGCTTGAATAAAATTAACATGTAACGTTATTATTATTATAAAAATATGTATTATTGTGACATTGATATTTTTTGTTTAAAATTTTAAACTCAAATTTTTATTCATTAAATTCATATTTTTACCTAAATAAAGTGATTCTGGATAAACATGTTTTCTCCACGTCGACGTACGTCAAACTAATAAAATAACATCATTTCAGGAACCGAGGTAGCTGAACTATCTACCACCGGTTCAAATCCTGAATCACCCTTTTCATCTTTAAATGGTTAATTCAGGTTTTGAACTGGCAGTATGTAGGGTTTTGAGGGGTTTTGGACTTTAAAAATCTGAAAAATTTTAAAATTTAAAAAAAAATTGTTTATTTTAAACATTTGCTTACACTGGGTAAAAGTTTCGGAAACATATAAAAATAATTTTGGGTTTTTTTCGTTATTTTCTCTCAGGATAAAATATTGGAAAGTTTATAAATTTAAAAAACTTTAACTTTAACAGAATACACTTCTGAAATATTGAAAGTTTAATTTTTTACTTTTTATTTTATATTGCATTCGTTAAAAGGAAGTTTTCGTTTACATATCTTGATATGTGTAACCAATTATATTCAGTATCGTTAATTAACTTAGGGTCAACCACTCAAAACAACCAACCCTGGTTAGGCGGGTCCAATCTGCATAGTAAATTGTAATATCTCATGCTTTGTTGTTGAATAAATTATGAATGAATGAATGAGTATAGTCTGATATCGAGTTGAATTCGATATCGATCGCTAATAAAATCCCAACAGATAAAAGTAAAATTACTTATACCGATTGATATCGAATTCAATTCGATATCAGCATACCACTCCGGTATGCCGAGTCCATTAGCGTCTGATCCAATCAGGATTCAGTCATGTGTTTGTTGTCTATTCTGAACCAATAGAAACAGTATGGTGGTAACATCTATCTTTCTATCTATCTCATTATCCAATCAGAGTTATGAATCCTTCAATCGGCACTCAGCTAAATGGAAATATTTACTTCTACTGAAACTATGGTGATACACCCTCATTAAACGAATGCAATTTGAAAGATCAAACGTAAATTTTTTTATAATTTTTCTTGAACAATCCCTTAAGGAAAACGAAATAAAACTATATAATTCTGAAGCTAGGTCAGAAGGTGCACACATGTGTATTAATTTGAGAACAAGACATTCAATCTTTATATAGTAATTACTCCAATTTTCGGAGTAGTTAGACTTTAAAGCATTTAACGTAAAAGATACTTTGCGAAAGTATTTCTGGTTTCTTATGAGTTAGGACCTACATATATATTATATTCTGTTTTATCCATTTCAAATGTATTCTGCAATTTTATAATTAATTTTAACAATTTTTTTTGTTCCGAAAAAAAATGCAATTAGCTTTTGCCGCAATCTCTAATTTTTTTAAATCCTTGTATCTTTTCAACCCGATGTTGCAGACCTCTGATTTTTCAAACTATGAATTCTGTCCGATCAAAAAGTTTGAAATATCAAAGGTTACACCATCAGGTTGCAAAGATATACGGATCAGAAAAATTGAGTTTTGAAAAATGTATTTATTTTAATTACAAAGGGAAGCAAGAAAAACAGCGCCTCCTGACATGCAGATGGAGAAAGGAGAAAAAAGATTAACATTTGAAATTAATTTTAATTAAAAAGACGGATAAAGAAAGTATTTCTGTCCAAAATGTCATATCACTGTGAACAAAATAAAAGTGTTATAAACAGTTATTTCACAATATACAGTGGTTGGCGTTTATATCGATACAATAGCGACGACTTTTCTATTCATGTTTTAATTTCTGACAATTTTTTAACCTTAAAGTTTTCAAGTGAACAAAGAGAAGCTGTTAATTAATGTTTCTCTTTGTTTCCATGTGTATGTGTATCCATGCTTTTTAAAAGCTTGGTAGAAACTAAAAAATTTACATCGAAAGTGATATTTACGACGACGACTGTACCTGATCCCATGTCTTTCTCCGTCAACAGAGTAGAAAATATCTGTTTGTCCATTCATGGTTTCCTAAAACAAGGAATTCACATATTTAATGTGGAAGATATCGTCGTTTTGCAATCATTTTCAAAATATCCGTAATGTCGTCTTCCTAATCCAGAAATCTCTGGAATAGGAAGACGACTTTATGACTCAACTTTTCATTTTAAATAGTCAAATGAACATAAGACACATCAATTGCCCATGTCTAAACAGATCCCGTGCTCTTAATTATATTCGATAAGTTACTATAGTAAGTCAATTGCTTTGTAACAACATCAAATATACTTAATAATACTTATAATGTCACCAAACACATGGCTGAACCCTGATTGGATCCGGCGCTAATGGACTCGGCATACTAGATTGTTACTTATCCCGGTTGAGATATATATTTCAAGACCTCTAACTTTGATGGAGGTTAAGATAAGGTTTACAAAAGTACATCGGAAAAAATTAAGAAAAAAAAAGATAATCGTATTCAATATTAGTGCATTCAATTATTTAACAAAAACCTAACATCCCCCCCCCCCCCCCCTCCCTAATAACGGGAAAAGGTTAACTTTGGAATGTTGCGGAATGCGGAGAAAGGAATAAAAGAGAATTTTAATTAATTTATTAAAAAAATTCACCTCCTTTATTTCTTCTTTGCCATGAAAGTCGTCTTCAAACCTTACAAAAATTGTTGCAACTTTTATATTTGAACAAAAAATTAGTTTTTATGTACACAAAATATAAATCAAATGTATACAATCATAAAATTCAACACTTTTTTTAAAAATATCCTCTGATAAAATATAATTTAGAAAAATATAGAAAATAAAACCTAACTCACCGTGTGATAAAGCAGTACGGATTCTAATTGATATAATTTTTAAAACAAAAGCTATTTTTTTAATTAAACTGTGGGATCGATTCCTCTTTTATTTTTAAATAATTCCTAATTCGTTGATTACAAACATTGCTGTTTAAACGCATACACAATGCACTCACTGAACTTTACAGGGGGAGAAGGTTAATTTAATTACTGGTAGGACTTTGTGATCTTGTAGTTCCTCTAATTTTGATTGTACACACAAGTATGAGAAAAGCAGATGTGTTCTTCTCAATATCTTTAAATCATGTCTTTATAAAAAATTCAGATTTTTTTGATAAAAACTATTCCTTGCGCATTTTAACTAGCCATCTGTCTAAAGTTTTTGCGGCATTTGTGCTCCAACTCGATTTGCAGACTTTGACGAGAAGATTTTATAATTTTAAAATATAAAAAATTATTTTGATTTTTATATTAAACACAAGTAATATTCTACAGTGAAACCCTTAATAGCGAATACATCGAAAGAATTCATCAAATGTCCTATTCTTCACTTTCGCAAATACTGAAATTTATGTAATATAATAAAAAACTCATTGGAAAATTGTCAATACGACATTTGATAAATTCTTCTGATGTATTCGTTATCAAGGGTTTCACTGTATCTGAATATATATAAAGTAGTAATCTCTGTTTGTCTGTCTATTTGTTTGTTCGGATATCCGATCATAAGTCGAACCCCTCGACCACGGGCAGCCGTAGTACATTTGAATTTCCGAGCCGGGTCAACCTTTCCGGTGACAGTTTGTACTGTACCTAGCTCTGTGGACAGGACTAGCCGATGCAACAAGGTTGACGCGGTCAGACTTTAGGCTTCATATCTAGGTTGAATTTACTTTTACTAAAGAGGCAGAGGTGCGTGCAACCGATTTATCTCACATTTTGATGGGGAATTGCATTGAACCACGGGAATTAGTTTTCTGGCAAAGCTGGGTTCCAAAGCAAGTCTTATATAAATCATATTTTAAACACATGTTAATTCCAATTTTTAATCTTAAAAAGGCAATAAATCTTTTTAACAGACTTTGACTCGTCCTTAACCCTATATCGGCGGGGCTATTTATTTCTTATATAGAAGGGGATGCGGAGGGGTAGGGGGGGAAGGGGGGTTAAGTTCAGGTGCTAGAAAGTCAAGCTATATAGGTTAAAAACTTTAATAATAAAAATCTAATCTATGAAAAATATTAGCATCTTTGCAGCATATCTATGCATATGAAATATCTACGGTCTTTGGCATCGGGTTGCAAAGAAATTTGAAAATCATAGTTTGTGGTAAAGACTCAATTCTTTTTTTTCATGAAGTTGGAAAAGGGAAGACGTTTGAGTATTCTATATAGTATAGTACAAGCTGTTACGGGAAACCCGGAATAACCATAAATCTTACTAAAAACCTATAAATCATCCGAAAAGACTATAAATCTTCTGAAAAGACTACAAATCATCCAAAATGACTTTAAACCTTCTGAAAAGACTATAACTATTCCTAAAAGGTTATAAATCTTCTGAAAAGACTTTAAATCTTCTGAAAAGACTATAACTATTCCTAAAAGGTTATAAATCTTCTGAAAAAACTATAAATGATCCTACTAAAAGACTATAAATTATCCTTAAAGACTATAAATCTTCTGAAAGACTATAAACCTTCTGAAAAGACTATAAATCTTCTGAAAGACTATAAACCTTCTGAAAAGACTATAAATCTTCCTAAGTGATTAAAGTTTGCATCGCATTCGAACCCACTGGAGAGTGGAACCAAGAAAAGAACAATACTAAGTCGTCTTCCACTCGACATACTGAAATAAAATCAAGTTTTTTTTCAATTAAAAAAATATGAATTAATAGAAGTTATGAAAAGTAATGCCACGCCAGCCACACACAACCGTATGTTTGAAAATATCTATTGATTGAAATTTTTTAACGAAATAAGCCAAAAAAAATGCTAAAACCGAGAACTTTTAAAAAATAGTTTATTTTAGACATTTTTTTCCTCAAAAGTTGCAATACTTCAGGCTTCAGCATGTTGGATTTTAAAATAATTAAATCCAGGATATTTTTTTCTTCCTTTTTTATCAATCTCTTTGATTTGTTCCGACTGTTCTGTATTTTTACAGCTTAAAGTAAATCCGAATATTATTATGAATTGTGATGATGCTTATTTTAATTTTTAATTTTGATATAAATAAAAATAAATGCATTTAAAAACTTTGCTACCATTCTGAAAAAAATAATAAAGCCAAGAAATAAAATTAGATTTTAATATTAATTTACGTATAATTTATATATTATACATTCCTAAAATGGACACAGAATTTCTTCTCGTCCCTCAGACATCAAAGGCATTATGTATTTTTCGATTGTTTTGCAGAATGCAGATCTGCACATTGTAAACTTTTGTTTCAAGGATTTTAACTCTGAGTTGATTGTTAAAAACCCTCTGACAGTATTGGTGGGTAGGATGGAGGGGATAGAGAAGAAAAAAGCAAGGGGTGTATAAAAATATAATATTTGTATTATAGTGAAAAAAAATTCTTATCATTATAGGATAAAAAATGAATTCGAAGATATTTTGTTAGATAAAATTGTAAAAATTAATTTCGTGGCTAAATGAATAATACTAAAACAATTCCTGTTAATTTTATGCAATTAAATGATAAAGAAACTAAAAGTACTTTGCTTTCATTTAAGCATGACCTAAATACTCCTTGTTCTATTGTACAATTATAATTATTATTATTGCACATTTTCTCTAAAATTGAATCTTTGTAACAAAGTGAATCATGGGAGAGTCGTATTCGAGGGGGGGGGGCAATAAGGACTGTAAGCCCCCTCCCATGGAGGAGAATATTCAGTTGTCTGTATGTTTTTACATTTTTTACATGTTAGGATATGTTGATCTATTTATATATAAAGTAGTAATCACTAATCTTTGTTTGTTTGTATGTCCGATCATAACTCAGGAACTCTTCGTCAGATTTTTGAGAATCCACTGAACCACTGAAATGAACTTTGCTTGGCTTAAAAGTTCTTAGTTTAGTGGAAAGCTATAGGATCCCAAAATAGTAGAAATATAATGAATCAATATTATACAGTGATAACCAGAAAACTCTGGAATAAGAAGTAGACTTTTAGACTCAAGTTATGACTTTAAATAGTAAAAAGAACATGAAACCCGCCGGCAATTAAATAGTACCCAGAAATTGGGAAGTCTAAACTCTAAACAGACCCATTTCACTTGATAAGTAATTTTATAAAAATTACTAGTAAAGATATTAACTTTGACATATTGCTAAATGTCGTCATCCTATTCTATACTTTACTGGTTATCACTGTACACTATACAGGGTAGACGGGCAAGGTAAAATGTATTAAATGAAATCAGTATCCACATTTGAACACTATACAGGGTAGACGGGCAAGGTAAAATGTATTAAATGAAATCAGTATCCACATTTGAACACAAGTGTACAGGTTAGACGGGCAAGGTAAATTGTATTAAATGAAATCAGTATCCACATTTGAACACTATACAGGGTAGACGAGCAAGGTAAAATGTATTAAATGAAATCAGTATCCACATTTGAACACTATTCAGGGTAGACGGGCAAGGTAAAATGTAGTGTATGAAATCAGTATTCACATTTGAACACTATACAGGGTAGAAGGGCTAGGTAAAATGTAGTGAATGAAATCAGTATCTACATTTGAACACTATTCAGGGTAGACGGGCAAGGTAAAATGTAGTGAATGAAATCAGTATTCACATTTGAACACTATACAGGGTAGACGGGCAAGGTAAAATGTAGTGAATGAAATCAGTATCTACATTTGAACACTATACAGGGTAGACGGGCAAGGTAAAATGTAGTGAATGAAATCAGTATTCACATTTGAGCAGTTATGCAATTAAAATAGCAACTTAAATTTTTTAATTCGTACAGTAGTAGGCGATTAAAACAATACAATGAAGATGTTTTTTATTTAAGTTTTATCGTTTAGAAGCTTTTCTAGAGCTTCAAGTTCACAAGTAATCAAAGAGAAGATTTTTTAATTGACATATTCTCTCGACTTCTGTGTTTATGTGCATATAAATGCTGTTCAACAGCTTGATATATAAATTGAAGATTGAAATCAAAAGTTTCAAATGAAAATTTTGTGGTGTAATAAAAAATTGTTATGGTTGAAAGCAAAAAAAAAATAAAAGACACGTTGAGTTTAATTTTTGTTTAAACGTTTCATCTTTATATTTATTTGATTATATGATTTAAACGAAAAACCATGATTGTAATTTTTTCCTTTTTATCTATATAATAAAACAAGACATTCGTATATGTTCTCTATAGTCGGCCAAACGGCTGAACCGAACTGTCTGAATTTTTTCCCTCCAATTATGCGTATATTTTTTCCCACGGGAAACGCCATGCCCTTCAGCTAGTCTCTAAGAAACACATTTATTTTGGCCTTGTTGGAATGTTAATTGACTCTTACTTGAACAAGAACAGCTTTATTTTGCATGATGCATTTAATATTTATGCAAACTTCTTCTTATTAGATTTTAAAATTCAAATATTAAAATACGCAATTTATAGATTTTAAAAGAAAAACATTTTAAATGAAATCTATTTTACAATAACATAAGTCTAAACCCTGGGGAAATTCAAACCATCTGTAATTGCTTTTCAGGAAACTTGGAATAAACCTGCAAATCTTTAATTTGATTTAACTGATTATCATCCACTTCATTTTACTGTAAGAGATAAACAGGGGCTTAATAGTAATATTGTATATGAATAAAAATCAATAAAGCAATGCACTGAGTTTCTCAAATATTC